CACCCTGCCCGACTCCTCACCCCACCCTACCCAAAACCCACGACCACTTCTCGTCCCACCCTGCCCGACTCCCTACCCCACCCCCACTCCTGCCTCAATACGCCATGTCTCCACCCCACCCCCTCCTCACCCACATGGGTGGGTAGTGGCGTGGGGGGTAGCTGTGCAGTAATGGCATGGTGGTCAGTGGGTTAGGTGGGTGGTGTGGTCTGAGGGGTGTGGTAATAGTTGTGACGACGGCAATAGTGGCATGGTGGTCAGTGGTATGGGGATGGGGAGAGTTTGGTTGGGGATGTTAGCTGTGATGACAACAGTAGTAAGAAGATATATGTCAGATAAAGCACATTATCTCATCTTATGATATGCATTCAAGTATCAAATCTCTGAGTGGTACCTTGGAAAATTATGACAAGGAAAAAGAGAACTGTGATAGCCATTGCAAAAAGGCTGCTGTTTGATGATGGTGATGGTGATGAAGCTTTAGCTGCTCTCCTCTTCTTCAAGGATTTCAACCTTTCAACCCTCGCACGCCTTTTCATGGCCTGTTCAGCAATCTCCTTAACTAGTTGCAAGTCAGCTGTGTCCAGTGATGGACCCTTACGTGGCCGAGGTGGCTTTGGAGCCTTTCTCGAGTTTGAAGTCTTTCGCTTCTCTTTCAGCTGTGTCTTTTCTAAAAGAGGTGCATGTTCCCCATTATTTCCAAATTTGTTGTGTGTCAATGATTCAATATCTTCATATTCATCGTCACTTGGTTTCACTGAGGTCCTGTAAGAATTACTGATGCATTCACCCTCCTCTGATCCTTCAAAACTCAAAGTTCCAGCTACAGACTGGACCATTGTTTTTGCTCTTTTGTTACCTGTCACAGTCTCATTTCTTCGGTCCTCCTCATATTCACTTTCACTACTCTCAATGTCAACAACAGTGTCTCTATCTTTTGGTGGTTTATTATCATCCATCTGATGTAATCAAGAAGCCTAATATTCTTCAAAAGGTCGGTTTTACCAACTTCTAATTTTTGCATGTATAATCACCACAAAACCTTATCTTTCCGCTGAGGGGGTCCTGCGTGTATGAACATAGTTCAGAATTCCATGTCAATAATGCTTACGACATTTCATTTGTATCATTAACCATTTTACTTCTTATATCTCCTGTTCTAAAGCCATATAAACATGACCCACAAATGAAAATGTTAAATGGTGAAAACAAATTGTTTCGATAAAAGAAAACTAGTGATCTTCCTAAGAAACATCCAAAACACAGAACAGTGAGATTAGCATGAAACACATAATAACAAAAATTACCATATGAGAGCAACCGAGCAAGATGATGTATGGGACATATACAGATCATATAGATCAACAGTAGGAAACAATAAACATACAGATTCTTCCAACAGGAATCTCGAAAGAACAAAATAGTTCTAAATACCAAAATGAAATTATTCTGTCAGTTGGTATCCAAAAATGTATGAACTTTCAGAAACATAAGTTCATAAATTTGGCATCCTATGAGAATTTCATACAGTTTGGAAGCCATCACCTATTTATTCATCGCACATATTCCATAAAACAAATAGAAAACATCATCTGAATATGCAATAAAATACACATCATTATTTCGATATCCTTAGATCAGTGAAAACAAAACAAAATCAAACAAAGCGTACCGGTATATCCACTTGGAAGCAGGGGCCGGAAAAAGGATGATATCCTTAGATCAGTGACTATACCCTAAATTATTGGTAGGGTTTCGTTCTGGATTTTTCTGACAAATCATAGGAAATTTTTCTGAAATATAAATTAAATTTGCAATGTTCGCCATATATTACATCTTAATCATTAGATTTTATGATTTACGAAAGAAGCAGGCCCATGGTTTTAACTCGCCCAAAGTTAGGTTAAATATTATCCTCTTTAGATACATCTAACCACCACCTCCAAAATCAGATAAAAACAAAAAACCACCATTATCCGTTTGACCGATTCATAAAATAACGTGTACCAGACGGCGGAAAAATCCACCGCTGACCGGCGCTACGCCATCATCGCGGCGGCGTCCGTCACCGATCGTTACAAACATACATCAATACAAAGCATAAACCGATGAATAGTTGAAAAAAAAGTGTATCACCTCCGCCAGAGCGTCTTCAACCAACACCAATCGTCCTCCAACGAATCGCTTCCAATGGCGTAGAAATTTCAATCGTGTTTCCAGATTAACACATTTATCGATAAAAATGTAAGAAGATTTGATAAGCAATACATGGAAATTCGAGCCCCACTTTGAATTCAAAATATTGAAGAAATTTTTTTATGAAATCGTATAATCACACGAGCAGAGGAATGTCTGTTCTTCCCTTTCCCAATCTTCTTAAATTTCCACCCGTTGCTTATATATTTTACCCCAATTAAAATTAAAATTTTCAATTTTATGTTGTTTATCCTATCTTTTTTTAATGTATAGATAATTTGTATATCATGCAATGCAGCATGATACATCTTGATTTTAGTGTTTTATTTTATATTTTAGGTCTATTAATATTATAATATGATTTTATATGGTTTTGAGAAAAAAAATATTTTTTATTTTTTGATGAAATATAAATTTAAAGATATTATAAAAAATTTAAAAAAATAAGTGATATTAATATCAAATTAACTATTTAAAAGTTCTTGTTTTTGAATAATTTTCTTAATTCAATTTTTGTTGTAATTTAATTGAAGTTCAAAAACGAAATAATTTATTTTTGGTTTAATAAAATAAATTTTTTAAGATAACAATTAAGTATTATGTTATAACTCAATTATTATCTTAATTGTATTTTAGATTTTTTATATTTAAAATTATGTTTATCATGTATTTAATTATGTTTGTCTATAATTAGTTACACAAATTCAAACATGGAGCTTTAATAAGATGTATCCATGCACATTTTACTTGTAATCTTGAATTTTAAGTAATATGCATCAATAAACAGTAATTTATACATAAAAATGTTTTTAAATAGTTTTTGTCAAAATGCTTTATAATATAGTATAAATAAAAAGTTTTGAAATTTTAGATATTTTAGAAAATAAAAATTAAGTGTTTCAATATTTTATATTTAAAAGTAAAGAGATAACATATTTTAATAAATAAATAAAATAAGGTGTTATAACTCGAATTTTCTTGTGTTTAGTGTTAAAACAAGAGGGAAACTATTGTTCCTTTTTTATTATGGGATCTGTAGTCGGGGAAAAAATTATCCGTTTGATTGAAGGTACTTAATGACAAGTCTAAGGGGGCGTTTGGTTCATAGAATAAAATTCGATGGAATTGAACTTCATCAAATGAATTTGACTTTGGGGGAATGAAATGAAATCTGATGGAATTTGATCATGCCTTGTGATTGCATTTAGTTGCTAAAATTGGATTAGGGAAGGAATTTGTAAGAAAGGAATTGAAGTCCTAGCATATTGTTATGAATTGTAAAAATATGTGCGTAAATGAATCGACTGGAATTGAAAGGATTCCATAGTCTTATTCCATTAACCAAACACTCTATTTGGAATTTGGTCAAATGATTGGATATTCTAATTCCTTTCAATTCTCATGATCCAAACAGCCCTTAAAGGTTTTGATGAAATCGATATTGATGAATGGAACTGGACTAGGAAAAATATATTTTATTGAGAAAAGGTAACAAAGATAAAATACGAGCTTGTTTAACAAAGAGTCTTCCCCCTTTTCTGCCTGTTCTTTGGCCTTAAGAAAGTATCTGAATTCTTAAGAAAAATCATTATTGATGATCCAAGACCATACATATTAACATCAATAAGGGTTTAATCCATATACAAATTCCTTTTCTTAGGAACACATACATGATTCGTCACTACAAAAATGATTAAAATTGTTTTAAAATTTTAGATAATTTAGAAAAAATAAAAATTAAGTGTTTTAGCTCGTAGTGTTTATCTAGTATTTATGTTTATCTGCAGTTAGTTATACGAATTCAAACATTGAGGTTTAACAAGTAGTATTTATACTTAATCAACTTGTAATTTTAAATTTTAAGTAATTGCATTGATAAATGGTATTTTTATGCATAAAAAGCAGTGTTTAAGCGTTTGGCTTAAATGCTTTATAATGTAGGGCAAATTGCATGAAAAAATAATGTACTTTAATTTGATTATTATTTTAGGCAACTTTTAACAAAAATAAGGAAAAACAAAAGAAAAGTGCAAACAGAGAAAAAAAACATGGTTGGACGATTTTACCCCTGGCTTTAATTGATATTTTTAATGGAGTTATTGACGAGGTCCCATTTTCAAAACAAAATCCAAACATGAGAGACAACATCTTGATTTATTGAAGTTCAAGTCTCACTTTCAAAGAAGTCACTAAACTTCAGGGACCAAAAGTGAAGTCTACTAAAAAAAAGTGAGTCAACGTACATATGATAGTCGGTATCATAAAATTGGGATAAATTCATGGGAAATCGACTCAAATAATTATTTCACCCATTTAAATGGATCTTCTAATCATTTATTTTTCTGGTTTACCCAAATGTTACTACGTTCGCAATATTCACATCTGTAATATCATGGATTTGCCTAAAAGATAACAAATATTATCATATTCAACTCAGGTCCACAATTGCGATGGTGCAACTTGCTAACCTGGTGGAATTTGATTTTGTTTTTTTGTCTTTTAGCCAGGTCCGCAATATTGCGATTGTGGATATTGCGGACGTAGTGGCATTTGGATAAACCCATGAGAGAAATGACTAAAAGACCAATTTGAATGAATGAAATGACTATTTGAGTCAATTTTTCTAAACTTATATAGATTTATGGGACTAATACTGGAAATTTAAAATACTGAAATCAATTACTGAACTATAAAACGGGTTTGAAATTTGTGTTTGTTAAAGTAGATATTGTAACCTATTTTCTTATTTTAATRGTGACATCTTATTATAAAAAACCAAAATTTTGTTATAATTATAATCAATGACAAGATTATTTTTGAAAGTACAATCGATGATAAGATTAAATATATCAGTTATATTGATTTCGATGTGTTTCCAAGTTGGTTTATCGATATGATAGTTACTTACATGTGATCGTTTTCAACAGACTCAAAATTCCTAATTTTTCATTTTGGAGAAGTTGTTAAATAAATGTTCAAACTTCAGTTACATTAATATTTTATACCAATTAACCCATAATAATAATTGGCCAAACTTGAAAATTAAGTTTAGATTAGACTACGGGGTGTTTGAGATTGCTTATTTGAAACAACTTATAGTTTTCTAAAAAAAATATTTATTAACTTATTATAAGTTAGAAGGATTTAACTTCTTTAAAAACTTCTTATTACCGGTTTGACACCACTATAAGTTTTTTATCCAAACACTCAAAAGTGTTTATTACCGGTGTTACACCGAAATAAGTCAATAAGTTGTTTTTATAAGCAATCTCAAACACCCCTTGTAATTTTTGTCCATAGAGTTTGAGAAAGATTTTGATATGTGATTTCAAAATTTCAATTTTCATCCCTATAATTTCTAATTTATTGTTGTTTTCGTTCATGAAATTAAATATGTTAAAAATCCTTTATTAACTTAGGAGTATTTTAGTTTTTATTTATTTATTTCTCTTTTTTAGTTTCTTGTAATATTTTTTGTTTTTTTTACTTTTAATTTAATAAAACTATATACTTTTTGCTAAAAATGTTAATAAATAAAAATNTAATTTTTCATTTTGGAGAAGTTGTTAAATAAATGTTCAAACTTCAGTTACATTAATATTTTATACCAATTAACCCATAATAATAATTGGCCAAACTTGAAAATTAAKTTTAGATTAGACTACGGGGTGTTTGAGATTGCTTATTTGAAACAACTTATGGTTTTCTAAAAAAACATTTATTAACTTATTACAAGTTAGAAGGATTTAACTTATTTAAAAATTCCTTATTACCGGTTTGGCACCACTATAAGTTTTTTATCCAAACACTCAAAAGTGTTTATTAGCGGCGTTACACCGAAATAAGTCAATAAGTTGTTTTTATAAACAATCTCAAACACCCCCCCCTGTAATTTTTGTCCATATAGTTTGAGAAAGATTTTGATATGTGATTTCGAAATTTCAATTTTCATCCCTATAATTTCTAATTTATTGTTGTTTTCGTTCATGAAATTAAATATGTTAAAACTCCTTTATTAACTTAGGAGTATTTTAGTTTTTATTTATTTATTTCTCTTTTTTAGTTTCTTGTAATATTTTTTGTTTTTTTTACTTTTAATTTAATAAAACTATATACTTTTTGCTAAAAATGTTAATAAATAAAAATATATATTATTTTGTTATTGTTTATGGTAAAATAATTTTAATATAACTATTTTTATTTTTATTTTTGGTCACCATAGTTTTAGTTTTTTATGTGTTCGATTTATGTTACTAATATCATTTAGTTGCTAGCCGTTGAATTTCCTTCATATAAGAGTATTTTAATTTTTTTTTATTAGGAAATCAATTGATTATATTTTTTATATTATCAAACAAATATATGTAATTTTATTAATATAAAACAACGGATTGTATGAAAATTATTTGATTATTTTATTATAAATTATAAGAAAATAATATAATGTTTTTATATTAATTATCCACAATAGTTTACTTATTTTGTATTAAATTATTCAAAAATGTCAAACAATGCATTGCTCTTTGAGTTCGGAACCTAAGACGCTAAAAGCAATTTGGTCGGGTTGAAAAATCTTTAACTCATTCTAAATCGTATGGGCTGATTGGATTGGTCGGATTGATACTTTAGTACATTAAATATTTTTTTTAACCTTGAAAATGTTATTTTTATGTGCTTATAATTTTTTTTTCGTCATCAACTATTTGATACAACTTATCCAAACTTTTTACGTGCATCACATTCATTTAATTTTCTCAATTTACATATATATGTTCACAGTTATTGAACATATATACAAATGAATTATATAGAGATGTGAACATATTGAAACTATGTGTATATGAAAAGCGTGTGTGATAGTGTAGTTGTCTAATGTATATATATTAATAGAAATTCAACAATTATATCAAATCTAAGAGATAAAAGGATATCGGGTTCATCGGGTTGGGTTGAATTCAGATAATAGTAACCCAATATCTACGATTTGAAAATTTTACAATTCGATTAGACATCATGTTGCTTTGGATTGAGTTGTTTCGCGTTGGGTCGGGTTGGTCGGGCCCTGGCTGGCGGCATTAACAAGATGAAGGAGCGAAGGAGGGGTGTCGAGAACAAGAAGCTAACAATGATTATAAAAACAATAAAAAGAAGTTGAAACACCAA